TGCTGAGGCGATGAGCGCCTGCATCTGTTTTTCGGATTACTGAGGGAATCCTTGCACTTGTTGGCAACCCGTGCAGCACATCATGGCAGTCTCAAAGTGCGACGCATCGGAGGACGTCCACCAATTCCCGATGAGAATCTTTTTGCTTCGGGTGGTCCCGTGGTCGTGACTGCTGAAGCCCCTTCGCCAGTACCTGCGACGGCAGGGCTGCATGGATGGAGAGCCGCACTGTGCAGAGCCTGGCCACACCGAGTGCTTTAAAAAGCCTAGTCTTCGACTAGGTGTAGGCAAAATCGCAGCACTGCCAAGCCCAAGCGATGCATGCACTACCCGCCTGCTTCCTGGCCAGGACCATCTTAGAAGTCTTCCAGACTATATAGACGGACGCAGGCACGGCCGGCAGTGTGAGCTTGATGGACAGTGGTGCCAAAATGCAGAGAATATGCAAGACTTTCACAATCTTTCACACATGGGAGCTGCTCTCGGCCTTCCATCCGAGTTTCAAGCTTGGGACGTTTGGCATGCCATGTTGAGGGTGGAATCACGGTGGACACGTGGCTCATTGTGGCTCTAGCTCCGGGCGAAGTGGCTGCTGGGCTCCATTCATTCGAAGGCCTGGCTTTTATCCGGGAAAGGGCGTCTTTCTCGTTGCCTCTCTCTCCGTCTGTTTTGTCGCTTGGTGCACGCGTCCACAACCAGACAAGCTCTCACTCTGCAACGCTGCCGGCTCAAGCATATTGACGTCTGCAGCGTGCTGATGCAGCACTCAGCTCTCGCTGGTCGACAAAGATCTGCGCATTCGCACATTGTATGCGCTACAATCCGATGTTACCCATGTCCATGTCCATTGCCATTCGCCTGCAGTCCTAGCAAAGCATCCCTTTCCACAAGATGTGCAAAACGTCGCCGGGGACGTGCCATCGCTCCAGCGTCCTGAAGCAGCTGGAGACCTGGGCGTGCCCTGGCGCACGGGATGCTTTGCAAGACATGCAAGACCATGTGCGGTGATGTTTCAGCTTGCGTCCGAGGCAATTCCCGCACCGTGCCCAGCTCCTTTTTGTGGAGCAGCTGGCGCTGGAGCTCTCTGAGCAGTTGGATGTGGCAGGCGATGCCTCGTCCAGGCAGTTTGCTTCAGTTATCTGCTAGCTTGGACTTCTGCTATGTTCTACTGCTCTGCCGGCGAACAGAGTAAGGTGCCGCGCAATTTCAGACCACAATGCGCATCCGCAGCCGTCAGCATTTCCGCATGATGCCTTGCTGTACGAGCAGCCGCCGAGTTGCAAGAAATTGTGTTTGCGCCGTTTCTCACTTTTTCCTGCTTCAGCTACCGGAGACTTGCCGTAACGAAGGCGTGACGACATTTCAGATCGCAGCGAGCATCCAAAGCAGCCAGAATTGCCGCATGCTGCCTTGGTTGGCATTGCTCAGGAGACTGTTGAGCACTGTCCTCAGAGCTTACAATCCGATTTGACTCTTTCCATGTCTCCTCATCAGATTCCTGGACCTAGCCTTGACTCACGGCAATCTTCGACAGCTGAGAAGGCATTCTTCGGCTGATTTGGCCTGAGGTCACTGAACCGTTCTCCTATGACCACGCCGTCAAACGCAAGCTTGAGCCTGCAGCCGCTTGGGTCTATTGAGACCTTATGTCCCGTACTGGTGCACGTAGATTCTGGATTGTGGATTTCACCAGCGTGCCTGCAGCCCAGGTCCGTGACGATGGCAGCCCCTGGCCGGGATGTCAAGGTCGCCGTGAGGTATACAAGTGCTCACGGCTAATCGCTAGCTCTCCCCAGTTGAGTCGATCAGTCGGCAGTACACCCGCTCTAAACCTGGACTGCCGCCTGCGGGAGGCTGAGCTAAAGCGCAAGAGCTGGGGCTCCGATTCCACCCGGTCGGGCTCATCGGAAGATTCCTTGGAAGAGCAGCCGCCGAGCTGCAAAGAAAATGTTCTGCGCTGTTTGTCGCTTTTGCCTCCTACCGCTACCTGAGACTTGCCGTGAGATGCGGCGATATTTCAGATCACAAAGAGAATCCGCAGCAGCCAGCATTGCCGCATGCTGCCTTGGTGGGCACTGCCGCGGAGACTGGTGAGCACTGTTCTCAGAGCTTACGATTTGATTTGACTGTTCCCATCTGACATACTTGGCCTGAGGTCACTGAAAATTTCTCCTCTGACGACGCCGACAAATGCAAGCTCTGGTCTGCAGCCGCTTGAGTTTATTGTAACCTTCTCACCTCATGTCTTTGGCATGCCCCTGCAGTAATATGACCCGAGGCAGATTCCGCACAACAGACGGCCTCCCTCTCAGCCGCAGCAATGCTTCGAGCGAGATCTTGGAGTTGGAGACTGGGTTGTTTGATGTAAAAGCTGAGGCCCCGGGAGAATGTCCGTGAACTGCCAGCCTTTCTGGATGCTTGGAAGCCCAGGGACCAGCTGGCCACTGAAACGACTTGCATTTTGACGGCTGTCCAGGTCTTTGGCCCCTTCGAGCTTCCAGAGCATGTGTTGCAGCTTGGCATCCAGCGTAGAATTGAGGATGAACACATGCAACGGACTCTTCGAGCGAGCAAGTCTTGAGGCTCAATCTCTTGCCGTACCTTTCTGCGCCCTGTCTGTAACATTAGCGGCTTGCGTCGATGTGGGAGAACCCGAAAGATGGGGCAGCTGGACCTGCCCGAAGGTGGATGACCTCATGGAGTGGCGGGTGACTTCCCGCCAGACCAGAAGTCCCAGAGCAGGGGGCTTTGTGCACTTCTGCCTCTGTCCACCGTTGGGTAATCTATTGCGTAGCAGCAGGATGTGCGTTGTCACGCAACCTGAGGTCTTGATACAGCACCTGTCCGAAATGGGCAGGTTGGCCAGGCGCGGTTTGGTGGTCGTCTCCTGTGCGACACGCAAGGCGTCGTGCACATGAGTGACAATGCGGAGGTCCCACTCAATCGTTGAGTTTTCGGCACAATGGAAGCGCGGTACTCAAGATCCCGACGCCTTTGACGACGAAACGGCAGAGGATGGCAGGCAACGGAAGTTGTTCGAGTGACTCTTGGCCGTTTAACTGCCTGAACCGCATGAGGCAGGGAAAGCAAGTCAAGTCACCGAATGCATTTTTCTTCCCAGGTCGCTGGTGGTGCATGAGGCTGGCGTGCGCGGACAAGACTCATTTCCCGGAAAGTGACGTCAACGACATCGTCAGCGCGAACCTTCGAGCTCTCTTGGTGCACTGCCGTGACGGGGATGTTTCTGTGAGGACACATGCGCACCATCTTCTTGGCAACTATGGGTTTGGCGGCCTGCCTTTTGTGAAGCAGATGATCGCCGAATCCATGCTTGAGCAAATGGAAGACCTGTTGCCAGAGTCTGCCGAAATCAGCAAAGAGGCCTTGGAGCAGGTAATGCAGTGTGGAAAGCATCTTACCCGCATTCTGCGCGCACTGACGAAGCCTCAGCGTCAGAAGTGGGTGTCCCTGTTGGTCAGAGCCCTCCAAAGTGAGGAGTCATTTCAGGCCCAATTCCAGGAGACCCTGTTTTCTGACCTGAAGCTCCTGTGGCGAGTTGACGACGATCCCAGACGAACCTATGCAGAAGCAGACCAGCAACTGAAGGCTTTCTCAAAGCATGCCAACAAAGAATTGCGGGGAGAGATTTGGAGGCTGAGAAACTGCTGAATTCTGTCTCACATAGCCAATCGCTCAACGACAACTTCGGCCAAAAAGTAGATGGGCATCTGGGCATGTAATTACTTACTTCTGTTGCACCGCTGACATTGCCGCGCTTTTGGATCTTTGCCAGGATATGCCCCGATTGTCCAGAGCTTTGGCCGATTTCTGGGAGGCCACCCCACCGCAGAGAGCAAGCAAGATAATTTTCATATCAACTGTGCAAGCTTAGTGTTGTTTTGTTTGCAGAAGTCGGACTTCGGAAACCAACGGTATCAGTAAGACACGTGCGGAGGTGCCCCCGGTCGACACACACACACACACCCTCTCTCTATCTATCTATCTATCTATCTATCTATCTATCACGAAAGCTCCTCGTGAGGGAGCTTCGTGCTTACCTCACGGAGTGAGCTTGGGGGTTATCGGGGGGGTGCGGGGGGGCTGGGGTATCCACCTTCCTTTTGGGTAAGTGGCTTTTTGGACGTCCAAAGGAAAAACAGGCGTCCTCTGATGCTGCTGATGCTGGCCTGGACGTGTCCTCT